ATGAAATTAATTCACAGACATTATTTGAGTTTTGTTCATTCAGTGATGCGAAATATTTGTAAGGTTTTGACAAACAAATTCGACATAAGTGTACAAATTGTAATATGTCAAATATGAGTCCTCATATATACTTCTAAAATACCACAACTTTCTTTATGATATTATACATCACTACACCAAATTAAGATACCCGCACTACGTGATAAAATGCACCAACACTGGCTGCACGGCATTTTTCTATGTTATGGTAACTGAAATAAGGAATTGCTCAAACATGAACCCATATAATTAACTAAACATAAAATACTCTAAAAACAAATATATAATTCAGAACAGTAAGAAAACATAAGTCCATGCAGTAAAAAGACAAACATTCATCAGAAAAAAAAAAAAAAAAAAAAATACTGCAACAACGCAAACCTTCACCCAACATAAATCCATGAAAGAAACATAAAAAAAGAAAACAAGTCTATAACTCAATGCAAACTTGAAACATCCAGAACAAAACTCAAAACAAACTACTGAATAGCCCTCGTGCACGTCTTTTTGTTGTGGGATCCAACCTGGTTGCATCGACTACACCTCATCCTCCTCGCTACGCTCTCACCCCTAGATGCAATTCTTTTCGTCTTTGGTCTACCACGTTTAAGTTGGAACTCAGGTGGCCCAATCACAGCCAACGGCGGATCCGCAATAGGCCTAGCAAATGGAAAAATAGTTTTAGCATAACTTTGTCTGTACGACCAAACATGAAAGTAGTCGTCCACGTAATTGTATCCATCCGTGTTAGCTTTGTTTAAAACGCAAGCAGCATGAGCACATGGGAAGCCGGAAATTTGCCACATTCGGCATGAGCAGGATCTGTTCAATAAGTCAACCACGGCAACAGGTTCGCTCAATACCTCGTACACCGATTCAGATGCTTTCCAGGCAACCATGTCCTACCTTCCTGCACCAATGCACCATAACGTTCTTCTGCCAGAGGACACAACTCAGTGTGCCAAGGCACCGTTGTATCATACCTCAAGCACATCTGCAGCATCAACAAGCTCCTAATGGCATATATCATCTCCGTAATTGGTAACCCACGATATTTGCTAATCTGCGAATTCCAAGACTCTGCTAAATTTGAAGTCATCTCACCAAATCTCTGACCAACAAAATGTGAACAAGCCCAGTTTTCATATGGCAGATCAACCAAGAAATTATTCACCCTCGGACCTCCATTTTTTCGAAAGTTCTCCATGCTAATATCAAACTCAGCACGTGTAGCAGCATAAGCACCTTTTCAAAAAAAACACGAATAAATATATAATAAACATTTACACTATATTGTTATGAACAACACAACACCATTAAACAACTCCAACTAGTTAGATATGTAAATAATACTCAACTTACATTTATTAAACTGAGCCACCATAGACTTCCGGAACAACGATGAAAAATGATACTACAATATTTTACTAAATCGTTTTTTCGACTCAAAATTTAATTTTCAACACCATATGTGGATGTCGCAAAGACAAATAACGATAAAAAAAAAATTGAACATACCAACAAAGACGCGAACAAACAATGATATCAATGACGAAGAAAATACCTTCTTGAAAAAAGCAGAACAACGAACACTCTCGATTGTCTGCAGTCAAGATTAGCAGATTCAACTGTGTATTGCTATGAAAGAAATCTTCGCAGATTACAACTGTATTGATTTGTATGAATTCTTTTTCACATCGTGCAGTATATTTAATGAGATTCATAAAGATACAGTTACTATCACGATAGAACGTGATTGAAACATAATTCCTAACATCAAGGGACGTGATTTATTAAATGGACATAACGTTTAATAACTCTACATAAACGTCCGGTTATATCTAAGGGTATTACTGGGATATTTAAAAAATAAATCCCTTATATCTTATATTTTTAGAATCTAGGGATTTAGTTACAAGGAAAATATTGGGCCCGTAACCCACATCTAATAAGGTTTCGTATGAGGGACTTGCAGCATATTATCCCTAGTTTTTTTTCCTTTTTGAATGCGACCTCGTGCAACGCATGGGCACGATTACTAGTTGCAATAAAGTCAACAATTACTCTTGTCATGAAATAAATATTACAATAGCCGCCTAGGGTAAAGTTGGTATTTTGTGAAGAATATGCTATGCCAGAATTCGCACCGCGAGGGGACAATGTAAGACGAAAACTAAATGCAGTGGGGGGTTTTTGGGAATTATGGATGCTTTATGTTCTTTTTTTTTTTCTTGCTGTAAAATGAACTTAGTTCACGGGTTTTCTCAAATAAATGTTATATATACTGATCTAAGATTAATTTCTACCTGAATTGTAACTTTAGAGTAAGGCACGTACCATAAATATTGCCTTAATTTGTTTGCGACTGATTGAAATCTCTGAATCTTGCTTATTTTGAATCTCCAACAAGATTTGGAGAAGATCTTTCTTCCCTTCTTTGATTTCTCCGGATAAATTCATTTCGTGTTGGGTGATAACGGTTTCGAAAATCTTGTCGACAATTTGCATATAAGTCTCCATCTGTTTTTTTACTCCTTGAATGTCAAGCCAAGCAAGAAGTGGAAAGAAATCAGAAATATTCGGCTTTCCGAACAAATCAACAAGTTTCGGTGCCACGGCCAGAAACTCAGACGCAATTCTTTCGCCCTCTTCCCCTTCAAATTTCCCGCCCCACAACATGCTCATCATGACCTTTAGCTCGGTGCGAAAAATCAACGGTCCGATTTCGACGGGATTTCCAATCTTAGCATGCACTTGTCTAACTGCCGTTCTAACCTGATCCTTGCGAAGATTATAGGATGCATCGAGACTTTTGGCGTTCATCATCTCTTGAACGAATATTTTTCTCATCGCACGCCACTTTGAATTGAGCTCGGAGAAGACGATGTCGTTCGCACCGTAAGTCGCAACGATTCCTACAGCAGGAATGTCTCGATTTGCGAAAACAGAGTCTTGATCGCGGACTACCTCTTTTACGAGTGATGGTGAGTTTATTACAACACAGAGTTTGTTCCCCAGAGAGATACTGATTATTGGACCATATTTGTGTCCTAATTCTGTGAATTTTTGGAATAAATTGTTGCCGAGAAACGGCAAATATCCGAGGATCGGAAGCCCGAGGGGACCAGGTGGCAGGGGAGGATTTTTTCTTCTTTCTAGTGAGGTTTTGATGTACCATAAAATGGACATGAACAAAATTGAGATTGAGAAGGTTGCTACTACATACAGCCCATCCATTATTTGTTACTTCTTTTGTTCTTCTTTTGGGCTACTTCATAAACTGGTTGGGTTATATAAACATATATATATATATATATATATATATATATATATATATATATATATCGAATATAAAGTCATGAAAGAAAACTTGTAATACATCATGACTTGTTAAACATGGAAAAATATTATATGTATATTGAATATTTATTATTTATATGGTTTTGAATCATCAACTTCTAATAAATTATTTATAAATTAAACTTGGCAATCTCAAGATGATGAGCATCTCGTAGTTGAGATTTTATAAGCCATTGTTCAATAATTTGTATGACATTCATTTATGACCAGTCATTAATTTGTGCTGTATTATTGATCTGACGTCTAATTCCAGGGGCAAATTTTTTTTTAAGCATAGTTTGACTAATTTATTTCAAAAATAGGGCAGTTGGGGTGGTTGTTTCGGATTTACTCCCTCCGTTCCTTTATAAGTGTCGTTTTTAGCCTGTGCACAAGGATTAAGGATTTCAATAAATTTTGCTTAATTTTAGAAAAATATATGTGCTTATACTAAAATGCCCTTGCCAATAATTAATGTGAGAGAGTGTTAGGGATAGTTAATAAGGGTAAAATTGATAATTACACAATTAATGTAGTGTTGGAAATGTAAAGTGACAGATAATATGGAACAAAAATAATTTAAAAAAGAGACAGTTATTGTGGAACAGAGGGAGTACTATATTGCGTTATTCGAAATTGCGCGTTATAAGAATCCGCCACGTGTCAGAAATTTCTGCTCCAAATGCCTTCATCTAAGCCGTCGGTTTCAATCCAACGGATAGGGAATGTGCAGTTGAAGAAATCTGCTTTTTGACTAGCCCACTTTATTGCATGACTCACTTTTTTCAAAGTTGTGTTATGCCAGCCGTTGATTTAATTTCAAGGGCTGAGATGAATATTGAAATTGCTCCATAAAGAGCAGGTTGTAGCTTACTTTCGCCCACCATTTTGTCCAACCAACATGTAATTTTTTCCTTATTTTCTCAGCCTTTTTTTTTCTTTTTCTGTTTTTGTTTTTTTCCATCAATTACTAATAATTTCTTGTTTTTTATTTATGTAGATAATTTCTCATAATTTTGGAATTTCTCAACAGGTATTTTTTTGTTATATCTTTTTGTGACAGTTTTTATTTTTCATTTAATTTGTATTGTATTATTTATTAACACTGTTTTTTTTTAATTCACACTTTATATTTGTAGCTTGAATTCGAAAAATGCGGTGCATTGTGAGAGGTTTTTTTGTGGTAGCATTATTCGAGGTAAATGCGATTTTCATTTTTAAATTGTTTGTAATTTTGAATGTTTTTGGGAAAATGTTAATTGTGATTTGGTTTTGAGTGTGTTAGGGTTTACAAATTTTGAAAATTGTGGTGTGTTATGAGAGGTTTTCTGCCGACATTCATGTGAGGTAAGTGTAATTTTTTTTGTTATTTCTAGAATAATGTTTAAATTGTTTGTATTTTTGAATGTTTTTTAAAAAATGTTAATTCGTAGTTTAATCTACATTTTGGTTTTGAGTGTATTAGGGTTTTAAAAATCTGAATTCGTGGGTACATCGCTGGAGATTTTTGGTGCTAGCATTAACTCGAGGTAAACATGATTTATTTATTTGTAGAAGTAAATTTATTGTTGGAAAAATATGATTAATATGATTAACTCGAATGTGTTGGAAAGCCGTTAGCAAGCATTTATCGAAGAATCCCGTTGTTGAAGGTAGTACGGAACAACATGTTATGTTATACACTCGAGGGCTTGCTTTTCTCATACTTGGGGGGGTTATGTGTCCCGACCACACTGGAGATACTATTCCGATGATGTATTTGAGACATCTAGAGGATCTTAACGAAGTAAGGAATTACAGTTGGGGTTCTTGTGTTCTATCAATCCTCTACAGTGAGTTGTGCAAAGCGTCGACAAAAGGAGCAAAAGAAATAGTGGTCCAATTCAACTATTACAGGTAACATGTGAATTGTTTTTATAATACATTTCGTTAAAACTTTCTCTATGCAATTAATAGTCTAAGTCTCTACTATTGTGTTGTTTTTTAGATGTGGGCATGGATGCGGATTCCTCCATCGAGACCCAGACAACTTCCTGGAAAATGGGGCACTACTCTTGAGATAAGCGGTTATCAGTTTACCGTACCTTCTTATGGTGCACAGTAATAGTTTCAAGTGTTATTATTAAATTCAAATATTAAAATTCAAGTTACATGACTTGTGTACAATTGAATTGTTGTTCTGTTAAATACCTTGATTATCTATCTATACTATCTATAAAAGTATGAATAATTGGTAAGGTTTCTTCCCTTTATTGTATGGACAAAAGTAACCTTCTCATATGAAGAATAGGGAGCACAAATAGGTAAATTAACAATTAGAATTAAATAATAGTATTATATTACGTAATGAATAACATAAAAAGTCATGCGTGCATGTACAGGAATTGTAACCAAATCGTGATAGTGACCATTGGTTTTCTCCTCTTGAATGACAGGGAAGTTTCTTTTATTTTGCCATCATAGTTATGCAAACTAAAAACGGTACATCATCAAAGAAATTTAAGGGTCTTAATTACTCTTAGGAATTGAGGTGTCTATTAATGATCTTACAAGATGGGTAATATTTAATGAAAACTTACGAGGCCAAGATACTAACACTTCTTTTCCTTTTAAAATAACCAAAAAATTGATTACCTAATTGAAACGATGGCTGGAGATCAGAATTAGCAGTTGCCAGAGAGGATGCGGGGATCTACATGTACAATTTAGGAAAAATGTAATAAACACACAAACAAGTACTCTACGATTTTCCAGAAACACGGAAGATGAATGATAAATGTTTCAAAGTTTGCATTGATTCTAAGATGGCGTCAATTGGGGTCGAGGACATTAAAAAGTTTCAGGATGCTTTTGAATTGGTTACTGTGTTCCGCTTATTTCCTTGTAATGTCTCTTAGATTACGGACAAACTTCTTGTGAGTTTTTCTTTCTTTTATATTGTGTATATATGGTTCTATAATGTGGAGGTAATTTTCTCACATATGTCTTTTGTTATATTTTACGATGATACATATGGTTTCATGTTTTCATATATTTTTTTAAATTGTTGGAGTATATTCACGATTTTAGTTATATATTTTGAAGATTTAATTTGTTAACTGTTCGGGTAAACTGCAAGAAACCCCCTGTGTTATAGAAAACATGCACCAAACCCCAAGTGTTAATATTATTGTGTAGAATCCTCCTGTGTTTTAGTTTATCTAGTATGAAATCTCTCATTCCGTTAACAATTAACACCGTTAACTATTTAGGGGATTCCATGCAAGTTTTTCATAACACAACGGGGTTTGTTGCATATTATCTACAGTACAAGTGGATTTTATGTAAAATTTATCTATTTATTTAACACTCGAATTATTTTTTGAAATCAAGTCAAACACATTTATTCTATCTTTGAAAGTCGAATTTTCAAATAATTACTATAAATATTTATATCAAAACTAAATTTGAATTTGTCATATTATTTATAATCTTTGATATATAATACATTTATATTAATATATAACAATTTTTATATAATAAATATATAGTTTTGATTTTTCTAAATACATTGATAAATAATTTATTTATTCAAAAATGGAAATTTCCAAAATGTTATTTAGTTTCATTTTTTATGCAATTATTTTTCGTAAAAAGATGGAATCAAATTTTGGAAATCCAAATGAGAGAAAAAAAAATTGTTAGAAATTTCATCCTTAGTATTATTAGTCTTAAAATTTAGATTGCAATTGAATATACGTGTTAGACTTAATTTCAAAAAATAATTCAAAATTTAAATAAATAAAATATTTTTGCATAAATCCCCCATATATTGAAAAAAACCTGCACCAAACCCCTTTGCGTTATGAAAAATTGGCATGAAATCCCCTAAATAGTTAGCGGTGCTAATTGTTAACGGAATGGAGGATTTCATGATAGATAAAATAAAACACATGGGAATTCTACTCAATAAAACTAACACAGGGGTTTGGTGCAGGTTTTCCATAACACAGGGGGGTTTTATGCAGTTTACCCTTAATTGTTCTATAGTATAATAAAAATTTCTTAGTTCAACTACTCTACTACATCGTGATTCGACATCTCTTACCGACAATAAAACATTGAGCAAAGGGTTGACAGCTGCAGGAACGAAAGGGGAAAAAAAGGGTAGTGATGTTCGTAATATTTTGCTCAAAATCGGTTGACAATTCTATTCCGTCTGAATATATTTTGGTTAGGATTCTCGGTAATCGTAATATATATTCGGGTTCTCTGCTTGTTAAAAAAAAATTAAAAAATGAAAAAAATTAAAGAATAAAGGACCAAAAATAAATGAAAACAATCAAGCATAATAAAACCCTACACCCTACTACGGTACTACTCTCTGAGGTATGTCAAAACAACTTTAAAATCCTTGTGGCATTGATAATTACAACTACCCTCCCAAAACTAACGGAATGTTATTAACCCTAACATCAGGGATTGGTTATAATTGTGAATATCACAGAGACTTTAAAGTTGTTTTATCATAACTCATGGGGTAAATGTAATATTTTGGTTCTATTTAAATAAATAAAAAATAAATTTTTTTATGCTTTATTTAGTAGATGGTTGGTGCCCTAGGGAAAATATAATGAATACAACGGAAAAAAGAAAAAAATATTGGTCCACCTTTTACTTAAATTTATTATAGCATACTTGATTTAGGGTTTTTAATTTCCAAATTTGAAGTGTCCTGCTTTTACTTGGATTTTCCAGATTTCAACCTAATTTTGTTTTCATTCATTACAATTACCCCCAAGGGACAATAACTATAAAAAAAATGGTAAAAAAGATAATAGAATTATTTATTGTTAAACAATATTCAAGATGTTACATTACCCTGAGTTATGATATAAAAAATTTAAAGTCCTTGTGGTATTCGTAATGACAACCACCCTCCGACATTCGAGTTTCTAACATTCCGATCCGTTAGTTTTAGGGGATGGCTGTAATTATGAATATCATAGGGACCTTAAAGTTGCAAACTTCAGGGGTTGATTGTAATTTACCCAAAAAAAAATGAATGAACGTTCAAATATAGGACCTGCAACATCTAAAGAAATGTCCTTTCACATACCCTAACTAAAATTCCCCATTTTAGGTTTACAATGCTTCTTCATATTTTGCTGACCCTCCTCCTTCATTAATTTTTGCCTAGGCTACCATTCTTCTTAAAAAGTTTAGTTCCTATCGTACAGATAAACTGTGAATCCTAAAGAATGATTCAGTTGTGCCCCTTTAAGAATTACAAGTCAATCAACATTTCAACACAACTAAAAGTTGTCCGGGTTGGAATTGAGATAAGTTGGTGGCCAAATTTTTGTACTAAGGTTTGGAAGCTGATTATGATTGATGAAGAAGTAGTACACAAACATTACTATATTATTATTATATTATTATTATTATTATATTAT